TCCCAGAATAACAATGCAAAATAACGATCTAAAGTCGAACCATTCGAGCCACAATATTAACATAAAAATGACTTTCGTTGCATTTGACAATGATAAACTTACCGAAAAGCCGGGTTATTCTCGGTCGCTAATGTCGGTATAATCCGCCATTTTATTTGAGTGCGTTTGCCACCCGACTCCGCCCGGTGACGTCATCATGTGCGCTATAGAAGGAGGTATGTGATTCGTTGACTAAAATCGTCGATAGTGGGTCTCGTTGAAATCTCGTTACATAGGCATCGGCTCAGATGTAGGTAAGGCGGAATTAAAAAAATCACAAAATCAAAATCAAAGTAAAATAATAAAATAAAATAAAATAAAATAAAATAAAATAAAATAAAATAAAATAAAAGGGCATTAGTAACAAAAGTAATAAAAAATAAAATTAAAATAAGTTTATAGCCAAAATAATTAAAGCCCGTACACTACATCAGATTTTAATCAGATTGGAGTAGATCCCCAATGTGTGGAAACCGCTGACGAGAAACAGCCACGGAAGAGAACCCGAGTTGAGTTTCTTTTTTCAGTAAAACCCATCTTACTACTGTCAAACAGTGGTGATGTTCAAATCCACGCACACATGTTTCATTGCTCCCCGATCCACAGCTCCAGTCCACTGGGGTCGGACTTCGTGGCAGTCCGTGAAGGATTGCAACAGAACCAATTACAAACTGAGTAAATATATTTATTATAAACGTGTTTTTTCTCACTGGTTATCTGTATATGCGTGCTTTTTATTATATTATAATATTGTGAAATGACACGTTCGTATATAATTGTACTACAATGTATATGTCAATAATATCTCAATGAGAACTCGAAGCTCATAAATATGCATTTTATTACGCATTTGTTTTTATTCCTCAGCTCCTGAGAGCGAGGTTATTTGTAGTTATGTTGGCGATCGCTGCTGTGTCTGTGGAACTTGAAGTACTATGGGAGATTGCATGATGAAAGTGAAAAGTCTTTTGATCAGTAAAATAATTTTAGAAAAGTGAAAACTAGAGTGACTGTGAAATAAAGGTTGGTTTTAAATATAAAATATGGTGGAATCTGGATGAAATAATGAAAGAAAATTGAACGGTATGACAGGGCAGTAAATGTGGCCAGAATTCAAGGTCAGTCTCCGAGGGTCAAAATACGTCACAATGCGTCCATCATGACGGCTGTCAACTGAACAACTATGGATGCCATGAAAGTCTTGGTTTGCAGTTTGCGTAAATGGCCGGGGGAAAAAATTCATGCAAATTCTATGCTTCAGTAACAGTATTTGCTGTTTTTTTTTTGTGCAATGGAAATTAATACAAGAAATGCTGCCTAGGACATTTCCTTCTAGTAAACAAAAAAACTTGGTACGCGGCGTTTATCTTGAGTAATTGAGAAGACGAAAATCCGGGTCGCTGTGAAACAATGGAATACTTCTCCAGGGTATTTTTGATTATTTGAAGAGGGAAACTGCTGCTTTGTGGAAGAGCAAAGTTCAATGTCATTGGCCACAGTAATTCTAAATCGGTGTTTAAGAGGTGTTACCTGGTGTAGAAATAATAACATTACGATGTTTTCGAAGTTCCCGCTTTAGGCAAGTTGTACTAGCCGAGCCACGCCTCGATAATTTATCGATATACATATGGTAGTGATGTATGGGGAGACAATTGCACTAAAAGTACCAATTGAAGATGTACATATAAATTATCTTCGTTTTCTCTTGGGAACATCCAATAACACCACGACAATGGGCTTATACGGTGAACTTGGACGTTACCCACTGGGGACTTATATCGGAAAACAAATGATAAAATATGTTAATCGTGTACAGAACTCGTCAAATCCATCATTAAAACAAGCTTTCCAAGAAAACAAAGAAATTAATAGTAAATGGTACATTATTACTGTAACAGACTTCCTTTTGAATAACATCAACCTGGTCGAAACAATGAAATTCTAACAGCACAAATTGGGACAAATTAATAAAAATATACAAACATCATTTATATCAACTTGGAAAAGTGAATTACATAACGACAATCGAATAAAAACAAAATGAAAAATATAAATTAAGAACATACAGAGAATTAAAAAACAGTTTTGCGCGAAAATTTAACTAGATTCTGCCTCAGTGACCATAACTTGAAAAGTAAGACTGGCAGACACAAAGGAATACCCTTTGCTTATAGATTATGCAACCTTCGTGATCAGAATCAAGTAGAAGATGATGATGTAATGAAAAAGTTATACCCCCGATAGAAGTGTATTATTTGAAATGGCAAAAACCCAATTTGTCAAAACTTGATTTGTCACCAAGGACATAATTCATAGCCTTGGTCTTGCCCTAGCACTCCCTGTAGCAAGTTACCTAAAGAAGTGTTTTGAAATAAGACAGCAACCCCAGTGACAATTTTCTTTCACAGTTAAGTTTTGCATTTTGTTTTCTATTATTTTATAGTATAATAATTTAGTCTTAATATTTGTTTTCTCTGTAATGCATTAGCTTAGTTTTTTTTATAGTTTTTTTTAACCTTTTATTCTTTCTCAAACATTTGTAACTATTGTAACTATTGCCAATCCCTCCGGGGAATGTGTAAGTGTTAATAAAATTATTATTATTTAATTGTTGACCCCGCACATTAGTGATTGGCCTTGGCTAGTTGAAGAGGTTTTTAGAGGGGTGACTTGCTAGAAGGATTCGCCGTGAATCCGGTGTTTGTATGCGTATTGAAACTATATTTGACTTATATGTCACCAAACTGTACGTTTTGACGACTCGTATGCGATTGTAAGATTATATTTCAGGTATACTTGAAGTAAATCTCAGCACTGTGCTTTTTATAAATGTTATGGTTCGGCTAATATTTTTCTGGAAACTGTACAGTAAATCACAGATTTTCATTATTTATTGTTCATAGTTTTTCTAAATTTAAGTTTTTATTGTTCATATTTTATTCACAGAAATAACAGTTTTCCGTTCTGAAACCATTTCCAGTTATTACGATTGTGTACATGACAGCTTTGGTCCACACACAATAAGACAGAGTGATATGTACGGATATGTGCGAGTATGTTTCATGGATTAATACTAGCTACTCCTTTGGTTCACAACCATCACCAGTTCTCTTGTATATATTATGAAATGTAATTTTTAATGGAGATGCTAGAATTTATCATAACATTGGGATATTGACAATAACACCTGCCGTGACCTCTGAATGTCACTTGTTTTCACGATACGCATGCGTCACTTTTACTTGAACCTCGTAATAGTTTAAGCTTGAACTGCAGCTTTCATAAGCTAGTAACGTTGCGACAATCGATATGTCTGTGCTCGCTGATTCACTGTATGCTCTGTGGTCTCAATGTGATCTCCAAACAGTCATTTTAGCCACCACGATCTTTCTATTCACGTACTGGGCTCTACAATTGCTCCTCGCCAATCACCGAAATCTCCCACCTGGTCCCCGGGGTTTTCCGCTGATAGGGAATGTACTGGATCTTGTTAACCCAACTCCGTTCCGCAACCTGCGTGACATGGCTAGCCAGTACGGAGACGTGTTGTCATTGCATCTAGGTCAGCAATTGGTTGTTGTGCTGAATGGCTATCAATCAATACATGAAGCCCTGGTTGGAAAGGCCGATGATTTCGCCGATAGACCGCATATTCCGCCAATGAAGACGGGGACATTGAATAGTGGTAAGTTTTTGGTTGGCACTGGCCGCATCAAGGATGTTCTTTCATGGTTGCTCGCTGAAATCCAGCGAATTGAACTCACACTAAGAATTGATTACAGGTCGCACTAAATTCCGCAATGAATTGCGCATTGAACATGTGGCAGATGCGGGTGCGATCAACTTATTTGAGTCCAGTTACGTTCTTCCAGCTGTGTCACCTGCATATGTTCACATTTTCACTAGTACAGCATTCCCTTAAATCGTTTGTCGACTAAAATACAGTGAAACCTCTCAAATACATAACGCTCATTGATGGACGGCTACAGATCAGAACGATGTCGACCATTTGAGCAGTCTTCAAGTTCGTGTTACCCTTGTACATCGTAGAAGCGATATGTCACTAGAGGGCGCGATTTATAGGAAAGTTGTATTAGGTTGGTACGTTACTATGCCAACGTCAGTTTTGTTCCGAATATGTTGATTCTGTGTAGCAGGCATTCGTGTTACCTTTGAAGTTCATGAACTCTTTACATTCATACACACAATGAAGTTGAACAAAATATAATTAGCATAATTTTGTTATTTCATCTCTTTGTAAGACATCATTTCTGAAAGAACATGTACAGTGAAGCTTGCCAATTAAACGGGGACAAACGGTTTCCCGGACGATTAATTGTAAAATCAACCCCCATTAATATCGCCAGTGCTCAGTAACGTGACAACCTCGTGCTTATATCTTGGTTTGAGTTTTGTTTGTTGTAATTTGTCAGTTTAAAGCGTCGTGGTCGTCGCGCAGCGAGTGTTCGAATTTCATGTAAATAGACAATGTAATTTACACGCGTTGTATACGTCGCTATGAGTCCCATATCGAACAGGACGCGGCGCGACGACTGCCGCCCTTTAACTGTGGTTCAATACATCAAACTTAGCAACAATGTGACCACACTATTCAGTCTCCCAAATACGTGTTCATGATTGTCGACGTTGCAGTTCGTTCTTGTTTGCACTCACCAGAGATAAAGAATATTCTCCTTCCATGTTACCGATTACGTGGTTTATGAAATTTTATTTACAATAGTAAACTATATGAAGATTCGCCTTTCACCATTATACTTGAATTATGTATAGCTTTCGAAAAAGTGCATTTTTGCACATCTTGCAATGCCGAATACCACAGAACAGACACTTTTTGTTAAAGCTGTGATTGCACACGACTCTGCATCTATACTTTAATTATTATTATGTTGTACGGCCAGTAATTGAATGTCATATTTATTATGTTTGTTTGCGACTTTGTAAACATCAACACGTGTTGTATCCAAGACTCAATCTTACCAAGTTCCCGGTTCTTTGAACACATTCCCTAGAACTAATTATTTTCATTCCTTTTTGAGGGAATTCAGTCCGCAATAAATCACCATCATGTCACAACAAATCAGATTTACACAAAAAATACAAATGTCAACCAAACAAATGAGGTGAGTATTAACGATTATTCGACATTGACGCCAGAAGTGCAAGGACCAATCAAATTACTAAGACATTTATTACGTAGCACATATATATCGTAGGTACACTGCTGCATTCAACGGAATTAGTATTAAATATTAGAATTAATAGTATAAGGGCGGTATAATTTGATTCGGTATATCGTTTCAGGTATAATTATGGCTAATGGCAAAGTATGGAAGTTCAAACGGAGGGTGATCCTTAGTTCTTTGCGTACGTTTGGCATGGGAAAAGCGTCAATGGAGAAGAGAATTCAGGAAGAAGTCCTACATCTGCTCGATGTATTCGATGAGATGTCCGTTGACTCCAGCACGTTCAACCCGCTCTCCCATACCACCAATTCCATATATAACGTGATCTGTTCTATCACATTGGGTGAACGTTTTGACTACACTGATCATCGATTTGTGGATATCATATCATCTTTGAATTCAATTCTTGATTTGTCGCATGTGTATTTCGGATTTATGTACTTTTTTCCCGGCTCATACAAGATACTGGAGCTTCTCCTCAGGGGCCACCATGCACGTGACCACCGCAAGATATATGATGTTCTGGAGCCATTTATAGAACAACACGAGACAACGTACGATTCACAGAATATGAGAGATCTCATTGACGTGTTCTTAAAAGCTACACGAGAATGGGAAAGTCGACATTTTTCGGAAAGTTTTGGGAGAAAAGGCTTGCCTTTTAAATATTTTTACATATATGCCCTCATACTTGACACATTCGTCGCAGGAACGGAAACAACCGCTACAACGTTGACGTGGGGTTGGTTACTCATGTTGAAAAACCTGGACACACAAACACAAATTCAAGCTGAGTTGGATAATGTTGTTGGACGAGGCCGCCTTCCGGAAATGTCCGACAAACCGAACTTGCCCTACACAGAGGCTGCGGTCAATGAAGTACTGCGCATGTCTAGTACAGCCCCGCTCTCAGTACCTCGCTGGACTACAACTGATACTTGTGTTTTGGGTTATGACATTCCCAAGAACACCATGGTGTGGCCTAACCTGTGGAGTGTGCTGTACGATCCCACTTTATGGCCGAATCCAGATAGATTTGATCCAGGTCGTTTTCTTGATTCTGATGGAAATTTTTACAGACCAGATGCCTTTATACCTTTTGGGTCAGGTATTAATATACTAGTTTTTTCTTATATGTATATTATATTATATTTATTGACAAATCACTAACTCACCATACCAACTCTTTGGATGTCATATTTTACTGTCAACATTTTGATGCAATTTCCAATTGGCTTTAAGTCTTGATCAATTGTTTAGATGAAACATGTAAATAATTATGCCGACAAAAGTTGACTTCTGAGCGTCAATTGGTTAATATTACATCTCTTTTGCAGGTTCACGTGTTTGTCTTGGTGAACAGCTGGCTAAAATGGAATTATTCCTCGTATTCTCTTCTGTTCTTCACCAATTCCGACTTGAAGTCGATAATGAATTCCCCCTACCACTTCTAGAGGGTACAATGCACATTACACTACAGCCGCCAAAATACAAAATGAGAGTTATCAGACGAGTTCAAGTTAACGAGCAAGATGAATAACCAAATTGTCCGTCAGTCGGCCATCTTGCAATCAAATATGTCTTGTCGCTGTATCAAGTTTGATTGAAGTATGCCCAGTCATCTGTGAGAATAGACTATGATTATGCATAAAGTATCACATCGATTTAATATTGCAGTTTATTATCTTTCAACTAATTATTACTAATTAAAACTAAAACAAATATGAGTTGCTTGACTAAGGAATTTATTTTTTTCAGCGTTAAAACATTGCATTAAAATATCTTTGTACAAATCTACTACATGTATTAAACACAAAATTAAATCAAAGATCAAATCTACTGAATCAACTGAAAATTCATTGACGGAGTCGTGGCTGGGTGAAACAAATGCGACAATGAAGTCATGTATTTCGTTCAAACATTCTCAGAAAACAGCATTCCTGAAATCGATGTACATAAAACTATAAAAACTGTTGACGTCAGTACTGGGCATGACTCAAGATTTGAAAATCTTGCTCAGTTACGTCATAGAGTATGCCAGATACTTCCACGGTGGCAGTCGCAGAAGAGCCAGAAATGTATCCATCTTTTCTAACCTATAAAACATGCATGGAAGATAAATTGCTTAGTCCTTCACTCATTCCTCCATCATAATAATTTTATTCATCATTGTCATTCATCTATCAGCATAAAATATTTGCTTTCAGAATTGCTGTTTCGTTTAGAAATTTTACTTACAGACAATTCGTATAAACCAGGTAACAATATTCTCCAGTATTCACCGTCAGCAGATGTTGTGAAATCCAAGTCTCGACCCTTTATAGACATTATTGCTCCTGAAACTGGATTACCATTTTCATCTGATACACGCCCTTTAACTCCTGAAATATATTTTAAATTAGAGAATATTCTTTTGGACGTAAACAATGGTTATAAAATGATAAGTGTCTTTTGTCACTTAAATGTTTGAACTTCAAGTTGAATGTAAGAAAATTGATAAGTATTTCCAGTGATCCGTGAATGGAAATTAGAGGACTTCGTACTGAAAAGTGACTACTCTGAAGCTTGAGTTCGTTGTGTATATTGTCGAGATGAAAAAAAGCGAAAAATTGCATATCCATAACTGGTCAACCCGAGAAACTACGTGTTTTTATATACGGGATCTCCGGTCAAATCGACTAAAAAGTATCAGCGAAGCGTAATAGTAGTTTATAAATTAATAAACGCTGCTCGGACTGATAAATATGATATATAGAAGATAATATTTGGTAATCGTAGTCCTAAATAACTATTAAAAAGGGTTATTTAGGACTACAATTACCAAATATGATTTTCTATATATCAGCGAAGCGGACACTTCAAACATTCAGCGAAGGATCGAACGTTTTTTGCATTAGAGACTCCCTAATCTGTAGAAACACAAACTACATACAGTAGTCAATTATTCACTAAAATGAGGTTAACACATAACCACATACACAAACGTCAGTTAATTTAACGAAAATGAAATCAATACATCGATCTAAACACGCTGAGTATGATTGGTTGGATTGCTTTAAAACTATTTAGAGTTGTTAGATGGAAGTTGACAATAAATCCGAGGAAACGAATATCGAAGTCATTCAAATGTTTTGGAAATATGATAGAAGGTCATTTCCATCTTCTGGGAGCAGCTCCTAGAGCATGATGGTCAATAAGATAAACATATTTGATTCCCAGATTTGATGTGGAACAGAATGCCCGAGTGATGGTATTTCTGGGTTTGTTTTTTTCGTTGTTTTTTGCCTGTATTGATAACATTCATCTTGTTGTTTCAACTATCTGTAACACCCACCTTTGTGTACTTGTTTAAGGTATTCCATCATTGAATCTCTGTTCCAATCCCAGTGTAATTCAAGGCGGTCCTCACTGGGATATTTACAACAGGCTACTTCCAGCGTGACTTCCAAGCAGCCAGTAAAGATATAATTGTAATCTTGCATAGTACCTGTGGTGCAAGAAGAGCATTAAGATCTGAAAACTGTGAATTGTGGTTCCAAACACCATGGTTACCTAGGTCTGGGATAGGATGGTGGGAGAGAATGAAACAGTTTTTTAGGGACCACACGCGCGAGTATTTCGCTCTCGGCGAGATAGTGGCGGGATTGTGGCGGCCATTACTTCTAAGGTCTAGTGTGTGAGAAATTGAACTAAATGTTTACAGCGAGGATATCTCATTTACTCTGTAAATTGAATGAATAAAAATAGCAATGCTAAAACTTGGCCTCTATAACGTCTACTGTGTTTATTTGACTTTTACTTTAAAAGATTACATTCCGAATTACCATGGATGTAATTTGATTTTATCCGTTAATTTAATTATGTTGTTTTTCACTTTCCAAAAAACAGATTCACGTGTGCCCTAGCACAATCCCAATTATATTTTGATTATATTGTAACCCGTGTGGTATTATTATATGTACTGCGCCCTCTATTGGTGCGTATGCTCATGAATAGTAATGAGGCTATTTGACCCTTGCCCCAACTCCCGCCTGAACGAAAGTGATCCTGCCGCACATCTAGTTCACGCGCTGCCAGAAATTCTTCTTTTGTGTTATATGTGAACTTTGTTGGTCCTTGGGTACTTTATAATCATTTCAGGTATGTACT